AGACCTAGAGGGAAAGGTGTACCGAGCAGAGGATATTCAGGTAAGAGAACAGAGGGATTCTTTAAAAGTATCAAACTATTTACCCAAAAAGTTGGTTCAAAAATAAAAAACACCACCATCGCCTTCACCGCAGCACCAGGTCGATCCCTTCGTGGTCCTCTTCCGCCGTCACCACCTTCCACTGGAGCTGATTCGCGGCTTCGGCTCGGTGATCACCCTCGGCTGTACGGTGCCCGCCCTGCTGGTGTTGAATTACTACAAGTAAGATTTGTTTTGTCTTAGAAAGTTGCGTTTTTGAGCAGATGATGATCACAACGAGAAGAAGCCTAGCTTCTGCTTTGTTTTGCTTTTGTTTCCGTTGCTGTCTGGAAACATTTCCGCCTGATGGCATCGCCTAGGCTCGGCAACTTTTCCTCTTGCCGCCAAAAAAAGCCATCTTTTTTTTGAAAATCTAGGCCGTTCGGGGCTTTACGGAAGGTCCCAGGCTTCGGAACTGAAGAAAGTGTTTAAACTTTTTATTCCGTTGTTGATTTGCTATCTCTTGAAACGTTTTCATCTTTTGAATCCTAAAAACGAAATCTTCTTCGATCCTCTCTTCTCTCTTTGCAGACTCTTCAACAGCCGCCTCTCCTGTTCCCGGAACACCCTTCACACCCAGCTCTTCCTCTCGTACGCCTTTCGAGCCATCTTCAGCCTGCTAAAAAGCGGCTACCTCGCCCTGAGTCAACCGACCGAAGCCGAAGTGGAAGAGGTGGCTCGAAGCCTTCTAGAACGCCAGCTTCTGCAGTTCAGAAATAGTCATCATCACCATGTCAGCCAGGCTGCAATCAATCAAAGCCTCCAGGAGCTGGTCTACGGAAACGGAACTTCAGAGGAAGAGGAAATGGAGCCGNCTACCTCGCCCTGAGTCAACCGACCGAGGCCGAAGTGGAAGAGGTGGCTCGAAGCCTTCTGGAACGCCAACTTCTGCAGTTCAGAAATAATCATCATCATCACCATGTCAGCCAGGCTGCAATCAATCAAAGTCTTCAGGAGCTGGTCTACGGAAACGGAACTTCAGAGGAAGAGGAAATGGAGCCACCCTACTTCGAGGTGGACTTTGGTGAGCTGGAGGACAGCCTCGAGTGGAACTGCGACTGGACGATTCGGGTCATTCAGCTGCTCTGCCACTACTTCATCATCTCCAACCACAGCTGGTTGATGATGGAGGGCTACTACCTCCATCGGATTCTTTTTAACCCGCTGCGGGAGAAGTGCAGCATGAAGAACATCAAGCGCTTTGGCTGGTGTAAGAGCTTTTGAGAAGGATTTTTGGCTTGAAAAGAGTTCTAATCTTGTTTTATTTTTAATTNTCCAACCACAGCTGGCTGATGATGGAGGGCTACTACCTCCATCGGATTCTCTTCAATCCGCTGCGGGAGAAGTGCAGCATGAAGAACATCAAGCGCTTTGGCTGGTGTAAGAGCTTTTTTTTGGAGGCTTCTCTGTTTTGGAAAAAAAGTTCTAAACTTCTTTTAATTTTTTTCANTCGGATTCTTTTTAACCCGCTGCGGGAGAAGTGCAGCATGAAGAACATCAAGCGCTTTGGCTGGTGTAAGAGCTTTTGAGAAGGATTTTTGGCTTGAAAAGAGTTCTAATCTTGTTTTATTTTTAATTCTAGTTTTTGGCGTCCCATTCAGCCTGGCCTGGTTCGCCGGCCACTCGCTCTTCGAGTCGAACGGGCAGTGGATCTACTCGAACAGCGCCTGGCTCTTCTACCTGCCCGTGGTGCCCATCTACATTGCTGATGCTGTAGGAAACTTTTTGCTGCATTTTTCTTATCAAAACATTGACATTCTTTGTTGTTGATCTTTTTGCTTCAGGTGAACCTCTTCTTCTTCCTGCACATCTTCGTCATGCTGCGCAACAAGCTCTTCAGCCGCATCAGCGTCGGCGGCACCGCCCCTGCCTCGACCTACCGAAAACTGTTCTACTCGACGCTTTCGCTGACCCTTCTTCTTGGCATCGCCCACCAGCAGTCTCTACTTCATTATCTGGTAATTCAACTTGCTGGTTGGACGGCCCGCGGGAAACTGGTCTGGTTCTACCTCAACGCCATCATCATCGGAGTTCAGGTAGGTGGAAATAGGAAGAGAGGAGTTTAGAAGAGGAGTTTGTTTGAATTTTGAGAGTTTTTGTTGATNTTCAGGTGAACCTCTTCTTCTTCCTGCACATCTTCGTCATGCTGCGCAACAAGCTCTTCAGCCGCATCAGCGTCGGCGGCACCGCCCCTGCCTCGACCTACCGAAAACTGTTCTACTCGACGCTTTCGCTGACCCTTCTTCTTGGCATCGCCCACCAGCAGTCTCTACTTCATTATCTGGTAATTCAACTTGCTGGTTGGACGGCCCGCGGGAAACTGGTCTGGTTCTACCTCAACGCCATCATCATCGGAGTTCAGGTAGGTGGAAATAGGAAGAGAGGAGTTTAGAAGAGGAGTTTGTTTGAATTTTGAGAGTTTTTGTTGATCAGGGAGCACTGGTCGCCTGGCTCTACTGCTTCTACAATGCCGAGGTGCAGGACGAACTGCGGCGAAACTGGTCCAGCAGCTGGTGCCTCCTTCCCAGCTGGCTGGGCGGAAATGGAGGCGGCCACGGAAATTCAGAGACAGGCATCGGCCTGAGCAACTCGATGACCTCCTCTCGCATTGTCACGCCTACCTCCTCTAAAAATGGCGTTAAAAAAGTCGGCTGTAAGATTTATCAAAAGTCAATTAAGCGGGGTGGTGGTTGTGGTGGTGGTGGTGGGGCTTATCAAGTGACGGCGACGGGAGCGGGAGCAGCAGCAGCAGCATCGGCTGAAAATGGCGCTAAAAACAATTCGATTGGCTATGCGACGGACAGCACCGGAAGTGGTGGAAATAACAGCGGCAGCGGTGGTGGAAATAGCGGAGTTCACCAGCAGGGGCGAGTCTTTCTTGAGGGCAGCAGAAGTTTGACGCCTCCCTTGGAGGAGGAAGGAGTTCCTATCAACAATGGTAGAGCTTTTGCTCCCACTCCTCGGGTGGTCATTGAGCTCTCTGAAGTGGCCACAGTTCCGGAGCATCTTTTAAATTCTGAAGAACTTCGAGATTCTTCCGCCTCTTTAGAATCGGATTCTGAGGACTCGGAGCACGCCCACTCCTACGCCTCCTTTGGGGAACATTTTGAGGGGTTGCCGATGGCTGATGATGGAGGAAGAGTTCAGGGTGAACTGAAGAAAACGGTTTTCAAAAAGTAAACCATGGACAAAAACTGAAACTTTAAAATGATAAGACTTGAATTGATAAAACAAAAATTCTCATAGTAGTTAGCTTTAGTTTAAAAAATTAGAAAACTTTTGTGAAAATTCTGTAGACCTAAGACCTAATGCAAATAAAGTTAAACTTGATAACAAAAAAAGGTGTTTGAAAATGATTTTTTTATTGCAAATAATAAATATAAAATGAAATCGTACAGCAATTGCTTAAAATGTTGCATAGAAAAGCTTCGTTTTAAATAACAAAAATAATAAAAATTAAAATAATCGCCTTTTATACAAGTAGAAAGTAGTACAATTAAAATGGTTTTCCATTTGGAATCAAAAGAACGCTTATCACTTCTTCACCGCGACGACGTTCTTCCCGAACATCTTCTTATTCCCGTAGTCGATCTTGCCCTTGAACCTCATCAGCAGGTCCATGGCCACCACCAGCACCGTACAGAGGGCGGTGTAGAGCAGACTGACGACCATGAGAATGGTGGGGTGTGTCTCCATGTACGGGCCGATTATCAGCGGGGTGATGACGCTGCCGCTGGTGCCGGCCATGTTGAGGATGCCGCAGGTGAGGGGGGACATCTGTACGGTGTCCTCCAGCAGGGTGTACAGGCTGGCGATGATGGAGGAGAGGCCGACGCCGAGGAGGATGACGCCCACCCAGAGGAGGGTTCGATTGCCGTCGGCGTAGAGAATTAGAATGCCCAGCGAGCCGGCCATTACCGTCAGGTTCATGTACAGCATTTTGAGGTGGGACAGTTTGAGGGCGAGGAGGATGCCCACCGCCTTGCCGATCAGGTTCGCAAAGTTGAAAACGGAGGTGAGAAAGCTGGCCTCTGATTTAGTGAGCTGAACGGAAAGTTGCGTTGCGTAGGAGGGAAGGTAGGTGACCACCACCTCCTCGTAGAAGAAGAGGTAGAAGACGGAGGCGAGGGTGATCATCGCCACGGAGAAGGTCGAGGAGTTTGAGGATTTTAGTGAGGAGGAGGAGGTGGAGGGAGTTGAAGGAGGACTTCGAGTGTCCACCTCGGCCACCGTTCCCGTGGAGCGGACTTTTGCCAGCGAGGACTCTACCGTTTCAATTGTCAGCGAGCTGCTGGAGATTATGGTCTGCTCGGACTGGCCTTTTGTAAGGTCAAAGGTCGAAGAGCCGCCGCCGCAGGAGCCGGAAGTTTTGAAGAGTCGGTAGGCGTAGAGTCCTAGAAGTAGGGCGGCTCCTAGGAAGAGGAGGCCGGCGTTGATAAGGTACGGTATGTGGATGGCGGAGTTGTACGGCACGGAGGTGGTGGTGGTTTGTGGTTGAAAAATTTCCTCAGTTGGTGAAGAAGGTGTTGAAGATAATGAGCTAGGTTCGGTGGCGTTTAGGTCTAAAATGTTTAAAAATGCGATTAGTTTTTTCAAGTTTTTAAACTTATCAGCAGGTTTCCTAGTTTACCTCCTTCTCCATCTCGATCCTCCACCTCCAAGCTCAAGAAGGGATCCGCCAGCACAGGGCCGATAATATACCCCAGACCTCTAAAAAACTGCAGCGCCTGCATCCACGGTCCGCAGTCCTTGCCCCAAAGTTCGAGAATCCAGGCCTCACAGGTCGCTATAGCCGCCCCCGTGGTGACGCCCACGGCAAAGTTCGCCCCTACAAAGTGGCGATAGTCGAGCCAGTAGGTGTAGCTGCTCACAAGCGAGGCGCTGATAAGCAACAATATAAAGGCGGACAGCTCCCGACTGGGCACCACCCGACTGAGGGCGCCGGTGCTGAGGGCGCCGGTGCAGATGCCGATGCACATGGCGCTGAAGGCGTTGGACATGGCCGCGTAGCTGATGCCCAGATTGTCCTTCAGATCGAGCATCGTCGGGCCGATGAGGCCGAAGCGGAGCGCCAGCTGGAGGAAGATGTAGTAAATGACCAGCGAGGTGACCAGGGCGCGCCGAGGAAGGGCCATGATTTTTTGTTTTGTTTGGGAGTTTTTTGTTTGTTGAAGGGTTGTAAAAGTGAGAATGGAGATTGGAGAATGGAGAAGGTGATGTGCGCAGTGATAAGATGTGATTGATGATAGTGGTTGAGTTTTAGAGGATGAGGAAAATGCGGAGATCACAAGTGTAAAGAGAAGAGTTAGAAGATGAAGGTCAAGTTCAAGATCAAGGTCAGGTGAACTTTTTTTTATATTCTGTTTTGTTAATTATGTCAATTTGTTTAAGTTTCAAGTTCAAGTTCAAAAGCAAATTTTATTATGATAGTAATAATTGAAGCTGAGTTATGCAATTTTCGCTTTTGATTGCTTTTCATTTTCATTTGCCCGATAGCTTATTTTGTCATTAGAAGCAGTCTGCTTGCCCACTATTTATAAGATGGTGGTAGTGGTGATAATTCGGCAACACAGCAAAGCAAAAAAGTTGACTAGCAACTGCAGCGGTGTTTAAATAAAAATAAAAATACGCCAAGTTATATCCTGTGCACTAGGAACTACGGACTGAATGAAACAAAAACTATCACCGAGTCCATGAAGTCAGAAACACAGGCGCAAATGAATTAACTCAGTGTACGCAAGCGGCGGCGGCGGCGGCGTCTCGAAAAAAAAATTAAAAAGGCTTTCTGGTTGAGAAGACGTTTCCGCTCTAGCTACGGCGGCGGCGGCGGCGGCAGAAGGGGACAGTACGTCAATTCATATAAAATGTCGGTTTTTTTCAATTGAAAGTGCTGGCGAGATGTCACGAGAAGACAGCTGTACAGGTACGGCGCTGTAAGGTTTGATGATGATGGGGATGCTAAATCAGTTGTACAACTCCAACTTCAACGTCAACTCCACGTCTCACTGGTTACATCCGGTTACTGTGCCTTACACTGCCTGCACCAAAGGGGGCCAAAGCTTAACGAGCCAGCGCTAAATGCATTGTAAAATGGCAGGCGCTTTTTGTACGGCGTCGGCGGTTGTACGGCAGTCTTTTCTGTTGTCGAGGTGAAATTGGGCGAATAAAATCACCACAAAATTAGACAACAGTAGAGGACGAAAGTTTGATGGTGGAGGTGATGTGTGTGTGTATTAGTGTGGAGGTTTTCATTCATAAATAGTTTTTGCGCCGTACAACGATTGATAGATTCAGCGATTAATGATGATGATGATGATGATATCGGAGCAACGGCGCCGGAAGTGCTGCTGGTAACTTGGAGATAACTTGAGTAGCTGAATACTATTTTTTTCAGGTACTACCTTTTTCCTTTCATTCATTCATTCATTCACTAGGTACTGATCAGAGTAAGCTCAAACAGTCAAAGAAATACTTGAAAGCCATTCAGCACTGCGGTTGTTGGCACTGCTCAGAAAAAAAGCAAGAGAAAGGAAAAACTTTTGATTTATCACCGCTTTTCGGGCTCTGTTTTGCAGAAATTAATTTGTGTTCAGTTGTTTGGCAGTAGAAAGTTGCGGTCGTTTATGACAGCAGCAGCAGCA